ATTAAATTTTGAATTGGTATGTAGTAAAGTTTTAAATTTTAGAACCACCCCTTGGCTGAACAATAATTTGTTTCCGCTTTAAATATTGCAGCAAACATTTTTTTTTAAATACAGAGAAATTATTTAAAAAAGCTGATGGTTTATGTTCTTTTCATTTGAGATTTTTATGTTTGTCTCACTTGCATGTTTGACCAAAAATAGCTGGGATATAATTGTTATGTGCCCTATAAACCGTGTTCATTTGGAAAATAGTAATACCTTTACATCATGCCAGCGTGAAACTTGCAATTTATAAAAAAAAAGATATTTGAAAGCATTACGGTTTGATCTGTAGTATTATGAGGTTTATAAAATCAAACTAATCAGTATAGCTGGACTTATTTTACGTAAGTTTTCATGATAGGCATTCAAATTTAATCAAATCGGTCAAGAGCCAAAAAAGTAGCACATGGACCAAATTAGGTTCTAGTTTCATGTTATTTTTTCATAACAGTCGGAATCGGTTCTTTTTCATCGACTCTGACTCCTTATGCTCAAACATGTGTTTGACTCCAACTCCAACTTCATAACCCTGGATGAATGTTGTTGAGTTCTTTTTGTATTCTGAACATCGAAAGAAATGTTTTTTTTTAAGTATTGAAGTTAATATTGCAGCTAAATGTAGGCATTCTTCATAGATGATTCCAATTATTTTTACTGATTTATATTGTTTTTATGAGGCATTGAATCAAAGAGAATAAACGGAACTCTAAGTTGAATATAGTTCGGGGGCACATTGATCTCATAAAACGTAAATATGGAAATAATTACTTACATTAAATAAAATTTACTAACTTATAGTATTAAATTCAATAGGCTATGGTGATGATATCTTTCTGCATGATTACTTATAATATTGAGTGTTGTTTTTAGTTTTGAGACATTCAACAAGTGGTAGTTGAGTCGTTGAATTCTATGTTTATGAATATTGAGTGGGAACGATTATCAAGTTATGCTTCAGTAGACCAGATGTTATCAGCTTTCTACGAATCTCTCTCTGAAGTTATAAATCATCATGTACCTCGAAAGAGATTTCTGCTTTTAACAAACCGTGATGGACTGCAGAGCTACGTACACTTCGGAACAATCTACGTAAGCTGCACAATAGGTTTTTCCATACGACAAGTGTATCCGATAAAGCTAGACTCCGTGAGCTTGAGTTGGAGTACAAAGCTGCCCTTTCTGCAACACACGAAAACTATTTTTGTAGACAACCGTCAAGGAAAATCCTTCACGCTTCTGGGATTTCATCAAGAAACGCAAAGCTGACTACGACATCCTTGGCGCGGTCAACAATCTGGATCACGGAATGGCTCAACTCGTACATGTCTGACCGAAATGCTTTCGTCGTGGTGAATTCCGTACGCTCCAGGACCTTCGACACTCCATCTGGCGTACCACAAGGCAGTGTTCTTGGTCCTCTTATTGTTATCATCTATGTGAATGACTTGTGTGAGCTACTATCATCGTCTAAATTTTTTTCGTATAATTGTTTCTCCTGCCGACTGTGTTGCAGTACAAGAAGATATAAATAGTTTGGTAGTCTAGTACGGTGACAACGGCATGCAAGTCAATAGCAAAAAATTCAAAGTGATATCTTTCACCTGCTGCTATAGAAATACTTTTCATCCATACTGCATGGGACTGTATTCCCTAAAACGTGTAAACTCAATCTGCGATCTAGGCGTTACGATCGATTCCAGGTTAACGTTTTTTGAACACAATCGCATCATAACGGCCAAAGCATGTGCTTGGTTTCATTCGTCGTCATGCTTCTGGTTTCACCGATGTGTATTGGCTCAAGACACTATTCTGCTCGCAGGTTCGTAGTTTCTTAGAATATGCTTCCCCAGTGTGGTCTCCATTTTACACAAGGGGATGTTCATAAACTACGTATACAGATTTATGGAGGTTTTAGACCACCCCCTCCCCAGCGTAGACAATCGTCAATTTTTTTGAATTTGTATGAACCGTAGACATTTGTCAAACCTCGTCCCCCCTAAACAGTCTACGTAGTTTATGAATAGCCCCCTACACATACTCTCACGATTGAACGGATTTAGAAAAGTTTCATGAGGTTTGCTTTACGTCAGCTCCCATGGAATGATCCAGTCATTGTTCCTAGCTATCCAGACCGAAGCATGCTGATTGATTTGGAATCTCTCTCAGCAAGGCGTATCAACTTGCAACGATTGATTATCTTCGACCCAATTACCGGCAATGTGGACTGTTCCGAACTCCTAGAACGGATTCCAAGGAACATTCCTCCTCGCAGATTTCGTAACTCCCCGTTACTGTCAATTCTATTCCACAGATCTTACTTTGGATTCAATGACTGTTTGCGTTCCTTTAATGATGTTTGTAATGAATTTGATTTTACTATGCCCAAAAATGTGTTTAGTAATAGAATAAGAGGTTTAGATTAAACTAGTTTTAGTTTTAAGTAATCAGTCTGTACGACGTAGTCGAAGACGGTGTGCATTAAATAAATTATATAATGTTTTAAAATCTTAATTGGGAAATATAGATATTGGGTGAAATTGATAAACCCCTCAAATTACTTTCAAATGACGTTCAATGAGATATTATTAATTAATTGGAGTTTCCTAAATCCCTGTGCTAAATTTATTTTCAGCATGGATGGAATATATTTTGCAGTTGCAGTAGCCATTATTAAAATCACTAGTAATATCACGGAAAATAATTAATTTTTCCCATATTAAAACAAAAATAGATTGATTGGCACTTAGCTCAATGAAAAATGTAACACTTAAGTGAAGGACAACAATCGTTCCAACCCTATGATTCGTTTGTTTGAAAACTGATATTGAATGCTATTGAACGTCAATAACGATAATAAGATTAAAAATTATACAGAAAAACCTGTTATAAAGAGAAGCTCATCAAAGCTACCATTGGAGTCTCATAATGAAATTTTAAATAGATTTCTCTTGGTATCTATCACCAACAAACCAATTTAGACCAATACACCGGTGATCAATTCGCCCGGACCACAGTAGTTACATTTTTTGCATTTATTGGGAAGATATAATTTCAAATTATTTTTTTTTATTATTTAAGTCACACGCTCTTGGGTCATTCGTGACTTGTCTGGAGGTGAGATTTTAACTCGTGACTTTGGCGTGAGAGGTATGGATGCTAACCACTACGCCGGGGTCGCCCCCTTAATTTCAAAATGAGTTAATTATCTGCAATGATTTTTGTTATTCATTAGATGGTAACAACAGACTATGCTACTACTTTGTTATGGTCCCATAGATTGTTTGATATTATTTTTGATGTTTTATTTCTTACATTAATCAAACTACTAGCAATTTTTTATGTTCAGTTCGAAATTTTAATGGTAAAACTTGCTATTGATTTGATATTCTCGTCTTCTAGGGTAGCTTTATATGTTTGCAACCTTCTCTGAAGTCATTATACATCTAAGTCAAGCATTTTCTCTTAACCTCATACGATCACGTGTTGTACTGTTGGGACTACTGAAAATGTGACAAAATTAATAAATCAGCTTTTTATAATTTTCTTTCATAAATTTCAATGAAAAAATGTTCAAAATAATATATTAAGTAAAATGTCATCACTTATACAGAACAGAATACAAATACATTGGAAAAATACTTAAAAAGTGTTGATTTTCCACCGGATTTCCGCAAAAAACTAATACTTAAGAAAACTATCAGATTCTATATTGAAACACCTTCAAAATGGTGAGTCAAGAACGCAAACAACTTTTTTGTTTCAGAGTAATCTCTGTTTAAAGAGCCATGCAGTTTTGACCAAAACCCAAAGAGGCATCATCGTTGAATATCAAAATGAGCCAAATTTGCCAAAATAGCTTGGCTGAAATCGGTGAAATAGGCCACAACTTTTGAAAATTGTGTATACACTTGAGCTGAAATGACCCATGTTCTATGAATATGAAAATAATAATTAAGAGGTCCACTAAGGTAAAAAAAAAAATAGTACATGTACCCTACCCGAGAGAAGAACGTAAGGCTGTCCATTAACTACGTAGATAGACTTAAGGAGATTTTGGCGCCACTTCCTCCTGCAAAGGAAGTTGTCCATGCAAATGCCTAAAAATATATATGGGAAGTACATAATTACCAACATCCCTTAGAAGTTAACGCAGTTACAGTCCTTAAATGTAAGCTATCCCTTAAAAGAAGACAAAGGTTTAAATAAATTCATTAAAAAATCATTTAATTTTCAGATTTAAGCACTGCATTCAAATCAACGAAAATGTAATCCTATTAAACCCTTTCTATTGATGATGGGCCCATTTCACGGATTATAAATCAATCAACGAAACGAAGTAATCGTGTTTGGTGATAAGTTTTAAGTAATTCAATTTGGGAAATGATATTTCCTATCCGCATACTTTGTAACACAGTAATTAATCAGGAAAATTCTTCTTCGACCGTTGCCACCGTAGCACTCATTTCCATACAAATTGACTTCGTGGCCTCTGGCCAGAATATATAGCCCACGTATGTATGTACACAGAGTGGCAGCTTACCGAGCGCTTTGGCGAAAAGCGATTTGATTTGCACACTTTAATAGTCAGCAGGATACCGATTCTTTATTCCAGAACTTTGCCACCCTACTCACGCAAAACGGTGGGAGCTAGCTTGCTAGCTTTATCGACTTTTGTTCACAGCTACTTTTGTCACAAACACACTCTTGCGTTACAACCAGCAGCAACTGTTCTGAGACGGCAAAGAGAGTGAGTGAAATACTTCAAGAATTCGTTTGTATCCAATACTATTCGCCTCGTGCTCCAGTAAACCTTTCAAGGATATGATGTGCGTGCAATGCCCTAGTGACAAAAAAAGTCTATAGAATAAACTAATTAGCAAACACGAGTAGGTGGATGCATGCATATAGTGACTAAAGGTTGGGGGAGGTTGACGAAGAAAATGGTTGTAGACATGTACCTTGCAAGTGAACGTGAACGTTGAGACCTTGTCGCTTGTCCAAACGTATGAGCTTCTCACTGCTGTAGACTTTCTGGATAGGGATATTTTGTGTTTTATAACCGCATTAAGCTATAGCTTTCCACTTCTAATCTTATTATCTGTTTTACTTTTTCGCATTCCACATTTGACACACCGGATTTTCTATCCAGCACTAGTAGCTGCTACTTTGCTTCTTAATTTTTTCACTCTCTATTCACTGCGGTTTAATTACAAAGACTTGCTCAACTTCCTTTGCCCTTCGGCGTATTTTCCAATGAGAACACATTTTCACACCTTTTTTCACTTCTTCTCAAACCATTATTTTCACCACGATCAGCAACTTCTTCTCACTACTTCAGTTTGAAGGACACATTTTAAATGGTTTGGAAGTTTCGAAGGAGATAAAACTTAACTTGGCTAGGAATATTTTCTGTCGGTAAAGAACACTGGATTCAAATCGACTGAACTTCGCTAAACTTGAACTATCCACTGTTTTCTCAATCGCGAGGAAACACTTTAATCACGCTAACAAACGAAGTGCAATTTTCACCCACAAAAGTGATGAGTTGTAATAACTCCTTTTACAAGAAACTACTCAGAACCGCACAACATAACGGGGATTTACCGTTCCCAATTTCATCTCGACTAATACTGCTGCGCCCTGAACGTAGACTACACGGTTGTAACCAGAAAATTGTACTCCGTCGAGGAAGAGAAGACAGGCGCAGTACCGGTGGTCGTCGGTCAAACACGAACACGAACGGAGACAGGGTGTTCCCCCAGAAAGTACACACGTCGTCTGTCACGAAGTAATGTCAGCTGCTGTCCCCCGAACTGTGTGACTGCATTTTTGACAGCTGATTAGGAAATGAACATTCAAAACGTCTTCCAGGGTGGATCTCTCTTCAGCCTTATATGTTTGGCTACATACAAGAATAATAAATATAGTAAAACTACATGCTTCTTAAATGTGGCGAAACTAATAAGCTGCCCTAACGGTATTTTAATGTTTGCTCCTCTACCTTGCTCTTTAACATTACTGTACTAAATAGTGACATTTATTGGTGGAAAATGTACATACTCCAATTGATGGATTAATCCAGTGATGATTTAATAAAGTGTTCAATTTTGTTTTCTTTAAAGAATATGCATTTTAAATCTTCTGCTTTGATGGAGCGAATTATTTTTTCTGCATTTGTGCGTGCGCTTAGTTTGTTATTTGGTACTGTAATAAAGTCGATTCGGAGAAATAGAACATTAAAAAAAAATCCCTCATGTTAGCCGACATTTCACTAATTTACTCAATTTGGTTATAATAGGAAACTCTAAATCATGTGGTGGAATTGAGGTTGACTGTAGAAGTTCTAACAATCTAAGTTTTCGACCTCAGGAAAGGAGAAACGTTGGGACGAATAACAAACCCCCCAATTTCAATCGTAGCCAGTTGCCCCCCCCCCCCCCCCCCCTAACTCAGCCGCAAATTTATTTATTTTTTAAATTTCATGTATCTAGAAAAAAGTTTAAATTTTTAGTTTAACTAACTTTTGTCAAATTTTATTTATTTATTTTTATCTTCTTTTTACTGAAGCTAGATTCATTATTTCAGTAAACTCGGAAAAAGCAATATTTTTTTTTTCTTGAAAATTACAGTTGGTTTTTGTTGAAGGACTGAGTCTTATTGATCAGATTTTAAAATTATAAAACAGTTTGTTCTTTAAATCCAATTAGTAATTTTGAAGTTTCTCTCTTCCATGAAACTCCACTGATTCTTAAATTTACCCAAGAATCTGACATATTGAAATATTTTCAAAGTTCTTATAATTAACTTGCTTTTCAAGAGTTTGGCACTTCAAAGATTGACAATGTTGGCTAGATTTCTAAAGAAATGTTTAGTTCGAGAGATAATTTCAATTGGTTCTTAATAAATATAAGGGAATTTTAAGGAAAACTAGAGTGTCAGAAATTTTACTTGTGAATATATTTTTTTAAATCATCACAATTGGGTGGGAAACAAAACAAAACTGTCGATTTTTGGGACTTTTGTGAACTGTATTCCAGGATGGTTTAAAAATAATCATAAGTACCAATTTTTTTACCTTATCCTAACCCATACTTTAAGAATAATCTAAATTAAAATGTTTCTAAATGTTCAAGTTAATGATGATTATTGAAAAACTGTTATCGAATAAAATGGTAGATCTCTACCAAGACTAAGTTTTTAAACATAATTTTGAAACTTGTAAAGATAAATAGATGGGATGAGATGAGGAATCGGGAATGTCTTCGATAAAATAAGAAATCTTTAAGTATTGAACGTTCACCATTGGAAATTTTTATTAAATTATGGATACTAAAGATGTTTCATCATTTTGCTTTGCTGAATTGCGTATGAAGTAACATAAAAACACTTTGAAAGTATTTCCCAGTTTCCCAGAATTGCAAAAACAAAACTTGTTATTCGTTAAAACAAACACGGTATTTGGGATTTACGTCCTAAAAAAAAGGAATGTAAACTGAATAATGCGTAAAAAAAACTTCGTAAACGGAAGTTTCAGTGTAAAGGGGTGGTCAAAATTTGCATGAATACAATTTTAACAGAAAAATAGTATCATAATGAAAAATGCTCCAAAATTGAATAATCCAGGAATGCAAATTCTAAGCCGTCAAAAAAAAAAGGGAAATAATGTCACAATGAAAACATCTGTTAAATTACTATTATGTAACTACCACTTTAAAACTCACATATTAACCTTTCTGAAACTCAATAGAGTCCGTTATAGACCATAAAGGAAATTTTTCATAACTTTGACTTATAAAAACTACTTTTGTTGTCTCCTGTCGCCGAAGTTTTCGATAGTGTGCCTGAAAATCCTAATTGTGACCTTTCAAAATACGCGTTAAAAGTTTGCTAGACAAACAAACAACTTTGGCTGTATACAAGCTTATTTATTCAAAAAAAAATAGCTGCATAAGGAAATGTTTGTCTGTTTAAGCTGATCTGCAGCTAAAATTGTTAGTTAGGTTTCTAGATCACGAAAATAATCTGTCGGAAAACTGGTATTTTAATAATAAGTGGCCAATATTTTGAACATCATTTTAAACAAAATACTATTCAGTTCACTTAATACACTTGAGGAAAGTAATTATAATTCAATCGTAGCAATTTGATAAATCATTGCATCGTTTTATTTAATATTTTTATCAAAAAATTCAATCTGTGGAAAATTTCTTTCAGTGCATATGAAAAAATACATACGCCTTTACTCAAATTCGTTTTCTTTCCAACTCTATAATCGTAAATTATTCATCTGGAACTAAATGAACAAATTTAGCCGTGATTCGAATTTTTCCGACTGTTGTGAAGCGTGACAAGATCAATCAAACCATAAAAAAAAAATGCTCACCAATATTGGTCAATGCACCAAAGGTCAATGTATCTAAACTCTCAGGTAACTGAGTGAACCAGTTGTACGTGGGCAATCTAAGAGTTTCAACAAATTAACAAATGAATATTTGTTCACAGAAGCAGACACGTCCTTCCCTGCGCTTCGGTCAGAGAGCGTATAGGGCGTCGTTGTGCCAATTTGGTCGTGGCACATTTCGAGTATGAGAGAGTAATTGCAGTTAGCTCAAAAGTGCCTGAGAAAAATGCAAGTACTTCCGCAGATTACCCGAAGTTGCGATAGTGAAGGTATGATCACAGAAAAGCAGACATAACACTCTTAAAACGTTCATAAAAATCGTTTTTAACGGTCAATTTAAATGTTTCTTAGTTGGTAGTACTGCCATTTGTGGTGCACATAATCAATTCCCTAGCGTTTGACGTTTACACACTACAACCATCTGTTGAGTGTATTGCCCATTAAAGTATATACGACAGATGGCGGTAGGGTTTATAATTATAAATTTTCAATGTGTTGTGTATGCTTGTCTGTGAAATAACATTGAGGTAACGTTAGGATAAATTCAAAACATTGAGAAATATTACGCATCACTTTCAGAAATACTTCTCTTCGCAACCGATGAACCATTCTGACGGCCATATGAGTACCCAAGTAACCATATAGTCGCAATATAGCTTGTATATTCTTATTTTGCTTGAGTATGGTTAATTGGGGAATCTGATGAAACTGTCACTTCTTGAAACTGATCCCTTTCGTATTTCTTTCATTCTCCTTTCGCAAACGGAGCGCTCGATGGACCAGTGACTTTGGACGTGAGCCTCGTCCCAGATCACCATGGCAATTCAATAACATATGGTGGACATCAAACCGACCAAAAAATGCGGAATCATATTAGAACCAACCAACCAAGGACGGTCTACGGAAGGAAATTGCCGGTGAAGCACGAAATGAAATACGAAGCGTTAGAGAAAAAGTCCAAGGGATTCCAAAAGAAGCAAATAACGACGGCGGAAGAGCAAAATATGGTGAGAGCTTTCCATTTATTAAAAAAAAAAAAAAACGCTTAAAAAAAAATATCAAAATTACACTAAATACATGCCAGGGTTGAAAAGAATATTTTCGAACCTGGAAGTGTGTATGTATCACCAATATCCATTTGATAACGGTGATGCATACATGCGGGGCTTATTGTGAGTGAAAGTAACCTCGGAATGGGCGTGACTCGCCAGACATTCTGAAATGGGTTGCTGGATCTGCAATAGAGCTATCACCTTCTAACTCCCGGACTAAAGCTGTCTACAATGACCATAAATGCGACATTGTAGAGAGAGTTCTTCCATAATAACACTGCCGGCCAGTGGGGGTTAGAGGGAATACACACACACACAGAAGCAGACACGTCCTTTTTAAACCAATTATTGTAGTCTAAAATGGTCACAAATCGCTTACGACGTGAGATTTAAAATCCCCTGTACTACTATGGGAAAGAAAGAGTTTATCAGCTCTAAAATGAAGAATACTGAAACAAAATCTTGAAGAGGGATATTATGCGTTACATAAGTTTTAAATTCTGTTTTTATACCAAAAATTAAAAAAATGTGTTATCGTGTATAATTTCCTATAAAGACTCTATTGTTTCCAAAAAAAAATGTGTCAGAGGTCACTTCAAATAAAAAAAACATGTTCGTGTTGATTTGCATTGTGGAACTATTGACATAACTATGTCCAAGCAGCAAATAAAAACTAAGCTAAAACAATAGAAAAAATGCAAACATTGTAAAAATCATTGCATGCAGTCTACATTGACTTGACGAAATGAATAAATAAATTATTTAAAAAATAACAAATCGTCATTTTGGAAAATTCTACAAAATTCAAAAAAGTGTTAACATTATCACATGCATGAATAAATTCCCATAAAAATACATTTATGCAAAGTTTCAAACATAATGTTAGTAGGTTAACTGACGGCTTCGTCAATATTATTTTCAGGGAAGTAACAGCACCCTTAAGCGCTCAATTTTGTCAAATCTATGCTATGAAATATTCCTATTCAATTTCAATCAAATTGAAATTAATCTCTGACTATTTAATGATTTAAAAGCCCATGTTGCGAAATTTTGCAATGCAGTACCCGTTAGATTTTGGCAAATCTCATATCCGTTCGCTTTTGGCACCTTGCCAAAATCAAACGGATTTAGAAAATAACGTTTGTTTGCTCATTGTGATTACAATTTTTAATAAAAGATTAATGAT